TATAAGATGACAAGGGATAATTTTGTCATTTTAAATACCCACAAATTATATGATTATATTTTTCGACAAAATAGGAAAAAAAGAAGTCCTAGTCTGGTGTGATGGAGAAGAAACCGGGTCGGTTCGAAGGTGAAGTGTACTTTGTGATGATGTCTACACTTCAAACCAGCGTTTAGATGGATGACCACCTACACTAGCTTGCGTCATCCTTAATTTGTGCTCTTTAGTTACCTCGATACCACCTCTTATCTTAGATATACGTGTTAACGAATCGATTTAACTACTGCTAATGTCAAAAAGATTCTAGTTAGTTTTATTATAATTAAAAAGTAATTAATAGTTGTAGAAGTTCGTGATAGTTCGATTCTAATTTCGAATATTAATAAGGATTATTGTTTGGTTAGAACATTGTGAGTGTGGCATTATTCTTATAATAATAATAGTAGTAGTTTATTTCCTCCATCAATTAGCTTAATAGTATTACGATATTCAAACTTTCTCGTCTTTGTTTTCCCTTCGGAAAATTTCGACTTAAAATAGAAATGTTCACTCCTCCGTGCAAAACAGCCGCCTATGCAGTTTGGCTCATCATTATTTACGTTGCAACGTGAGAAAACATCACCTAAAAGGCGGAAGAGACTGGTTTTCGACAAAGAACACCGCTTGTGATGTCATTAGTCCTTGAAATTACTCGCAGTTTTTTCTTTTATTAATATATATACCAACTTAATTTGTACATTTGTCTATTTATTTTTTCAACTTACACCAAACCCAAAACACGATTTACCGTTGCTCCTATTGTTTAATTATTTCCTGGCACTTTTCGAGTACTCGTTTTTCGTCATGCGAAAGAGAAGTGAAGATACTGAGATGTCGAATATAATGACGAACACTCGATCGATTTAAAGCAAAATTTAGAGCGAACTAACAAGATTACTTCTGTGAGATGCAGAGAACCGCAGGAGGGTAGGATGAGAGACTCTCTTAGAAACAGTTTACCATTAAGATAGAGACCATTTACCTGACTTCCCCCATCGTCCATTCTTAGTAATGAGAATTTTTGACTTTCATTGGCTCTTCTCGCTCCGTTCGTTTTATAGATACATGCCTAATTTGCCGAAGAAATTAATGAGCGGCGTGAAAAACAAATTCGTGTTTTGCTGTAAATTCTTTGGGAGGAATGCGGTTTTGATGATATTCCGATAGAAGGCAATCGTTCATTGCTATCTACGAAAGACGGAAGAGTGGGAATACTTTGACAAGGACTGAAAGGAGTGATTGAAGACCGTCCAGATATGGATGTGATGGATTTCAAATCGACTAACTCGCGCCGAGATTTGATAAATGGTAACGGTCGAATATCACTTCTACGTAAAGTTTCGCCTACAAATATGTAGTAAACTTAAAATAACAATAATACTAGAATATTTTAAAGCGAAAAATAGAAATTATAATCTATCTGCGGAAGAAGAATATTAGAGAATCGAGTTGATGGAAAGGCAGCTGTTTCACGCTTCAGGTGCAGCAGGTGCAACATGTTTATTCTGTAAATATCTTGTTTTAAAAGTTTTAACGCTCGAAAATTATTTATAAAAAAATATTTTAAACATTTTTAAGAATTTATTTTTAATCATCGTCTAGCAACAATGATAGAAATCATCGATCGATATCAATATTTGTTTCTATAAATATGACCATTTAATGGAAAATAAATTGTTTTTCTACCAATTAATTCCATTCAAATATTTCCTAAATGTAATTTGTGTTAATGGAGTTAAAGGTGTTTCGCAAATTACATAAAAATCTAATCCGAATCAGTTAATTTATAAAGATGAAATTACACGTTTCTCATTTATAAAAGAGTACAAAGATTAACCGGTGTGGACGGATAATCGAGAGCGACAACGTCCGAAAGGGAAAGTCGACACGATGAGTAATGCGAATTAGGAGCTAGTAAACACGATCCCGTACGAACTTCGCCCCTACTGACCGGAATTAACGTAGTCATAATGGAGAATTTCGTTGACCATCTGCTAGGATGACGGAGAAAACGACTCTTAATTGCCTTAATTGCTCATTCATAACGTTACGTACAGTACAGAATTTAATTGTCACTTTTATTATTAATGTCGAAGAAGTGAGTCACGTCGGTCCAACTGACCCGACTCCATTTTCCATAAGGAAACAAAGTTCAATAATGCATTCGTGCCTAAGATGAACTTTTTCTTTTGTATAAAATATTGAATGGGTAATGATTTTTTGTGCAAAAAGAAAATAAAACATGCTACCGGACCATTATTAATCCGGCTTTTTGACATTGAATCAAAATCGTTGAGGGGGACCATTTAGTATCGACGTGATTCTTTCGTGTCGATCACTGGTCATAGTTTTAATGACCGCAGGTGCGTGTGTGCCACCTCTCCCATTTTTGATTTCCTCGTTTGAAAGTTCGATTTTTTTTTTTTTTTCTTCACCTCTCCTTCTTTTCCTCCTCCCTTCCCGCTTCGTAGATGGAACCACCGCGGAAGTAGCGCGATAAAGCCGTTGTAATTACAGACATTTGTCATTTGACACGCGACTGGCGAATTCTCCGGACAGGTGACTGACCGGGGACTCGAAAGTTGACGTCATCGATGTCCCGACATGGTCAGGTTTTGGTCAAATACCTCGTATTCAATGACCTTAACGGAGAAATAACTCGTCTTACGTACAATTCTACGGTATTTAAATCCCATAAATAGTATTTTATTTATTTTATCGATCGCGTTGTGTAATATTACGCCGATGCAATATTCAAATGCCTATGTTACTCGCGCTCCATCTGCCGACAAAGAAACGAAGTTTAATAAAGCATTCCTCCATTTTTTCTCCTGTTTTTCTGTCTTAAGATGAAAGGAGTATTTTTATTTTTTAAATGAAGATCGCAGCATTTAATCACGGAAGAGTAAGATAAGGCGCGTGGTAGATTCTTTCAGACGGAAACTTTTCGAGAGATGGAGAGTGATAATAATAATTGCGAAGTAATATTTTTCTTCGCGTATTTTTAATTAAAGAGAAGATAAATCGGATAATTTCGAATTTTACGATCGTTGGAATTATGCAAATGAGAGTTTTGTTAACCGCTTTGTTCTAATGCCGGAAATATTCTATGGTTGTCTCGGATCAGTGAAATGAGCTACGCTCTTTTAACCAACTGTTTAGTAAAATCTTTACCTATAGTTTACGCTCGAACGAATGGAAATTTGTATTTTTTTTTTTTTTTTGTGGGGGAGGAGGAAATATACCCTTTTCTTTCCGTCCAGACTTCTAGAAAAGTAAAACACTCAAAGAATATTTCTAAATCTCCCCCAAAACCGATTGTAAATCCCGTTGCTCTATGGATTTCTTCTTGCAATGCGCTTCATTTACCCATTTGAAATGTGGTATTTTATCGTTCTTTTCTGGTGTTATATCCTGTACAAGAATTCGTAGCCTCTCCTCTGCTTTATTTACAACTAAATGACTTCATTATTTTCGAGGAGGAACACCTCGATCGTAGATTTTTATCTTAAAAATTTCGTACTTTTTACTGGTAACAATCGAACGTGGGTTGTCGACAATTTGAAAATTTTGATGTTTTTTTTTTTTCTTATTCGTGGGAGTTTGGATGTTAACATTCTTAATTGGGTGGGTGCGGGCGTCAGACCCCGCGACCCTCGGGTCAATACAAAAGTATTATGGGATCACGTGACTGGTTATCCGCCCTCTTCTCCCTCCCTTTTGGGACGCGTATCGTAATTTTGGGGTGGGGAAGTTACTAAAACCGTCTGTTCAATTCCACTTCCTGTCTGCTATAAGTCGCCATCGTTTGCGTGTCGAGCTGTCGAGTTTATGTTCGATTTTGTACTTTTTTTTTCCTTCCACGCAGATTAAAATCGGGTTGACTGCGCATTGTTTTAACGCCCAACCATATAAATATAACGTAATAAATAGTTTGATAGAAGAAAACTTTTAATAAAACTTCGTACTTTTTAAGTAATTGATCGCTTATTTTGTACGATTTCTACCAATTTTGGCAGGTACTTAATGAAATCGCTGATGGAGAGCTGATTGAACGTGACGCAGATAATAGAAAGTACCGACTTCTCTTCGTTGGATTCTATCCTTTAAATTGACCATTTTTAATAGTGACAAGTTCTTTTCATCGGGTTGTAATGTGGTCTTCTAGAACCATTAAAGCACGTCGTAATTAGTCTTTTCTTTGTTAATTTTTATCAACGACAACAGGTGGTAGACAGGGGACAGATGGTCACGAATCACCTTCTCCCTCGGGCCATACGCGGTTTAGTGTTCTTTTACCTGTCAGGAACGTGAAATGCACCCCTCCTATAGAGGATACACTCCGTCGACTGGTTTATATATATATGATGAGATGATTATTTCACTCGTGAACTGAAAAATTCTTGCTCTGGATATAATTTTAACTATTTCCACAGTAACCTAATCGTTTAAGTTTTATATTATTAAATCTTCATCAGTCTAGTTCTATAAATAGACGTAAACATCGAATTCCATAAACAAAAACATTGTTTAAATAATAATAATAATAATAGACTTTATCCTCGTGTTGGTACTTTAATATATTTATGAATTTAATAATTGTTTACACTTAATAATCTAAAAAGTATATAAAAACATAGTTACCTATTTGTATGATTGTTAATGATTCCGTATAGTTACAGTAGGATAAATCGATCACCCGTCTGTGCAACTGTGCGACGTTTTGTTGCAGTTGTTTGACTGTTCTTTGCTGTGTTTTCCGTGATTATAAATTGATCGAATATCACCGAAAATAAATTTAAAACGAAAAAAAAATCATTGTTAAGTAGTGAAAGATTAGTAGGCAGATTGATGAAGTGGAAGTAGATATCATTAAGGTAGGCAATAGAAAGTGGAAGGAAACCATCAGCATTTACACTATTTATTTATTTGCTTATTTTTTCTCCGTTGTTCGGGTTATTTCGTCCGTGTGTTCGTTAACAGAACAAAAGAAGTCAAAACAATGTCGAGTCACGAATCGCGCCGCTTCGCTTTCCATTTGCGATGTTTAATAGTGGAAACGTGTGGTGGAACTGGTTTGACTAAAATCACCCGACCTGTAACCTTCGGTACGAACGGGGTCGAATTTTCATCATTTTTGGTCCGTTTACAATCATCGCTCATAGCGAAATTCCCCGTAGATCCAAGGTTAAAGTCGAAGCGTAAGCCAGTAATTAGTTAACTTCCATAAACTCGGTCAAAGGTTGCGTCGAAATTCCGATCGACGGCGGTTCTTCTTCCACATCCACCCCTCTAGTACCGAAGATCAACAATAGATGGCATTACACCGAAGTTCGCTTTAATAAACCAACGCGTTCTTCTTTTAGAGTGTTGCCATCCAGACGGGAGGTTCCCACGTTGCTGTCATGACAAAAAGAAAAAAACACCTAGGCGGGGTTCCAAGCCGGATGAGCGATTATTTATAGTATGGAAGAAGGAGGAAAAAAAAAACGCTTACGTCGCCCCTCAACCCTAACCTTATATCAGATCCCCCAAAAAACTTCGCTTCTCCTCCCATACGTCATCTCCCGCGCTCCAATGGATTCGCCCGCCCGGTTGTTGGTCGACTCAGTGCTGCCAACCCAGTAGTTGGCTAAGCGCCACCATGTCTGTCTGACGGATAAACTATCTATTGGAAAGGCGGTTTTGTGCGGGATATAAATCACACGTGATCTGTAAAATAACAGGTAAGAGTGTTTAAAATCCTGATTAATATCGATGCCTCTGCCCCCTTAAAATCGGGAGTAGAGGAATGTCGCCTACCGACGCTTAAACAACTGTTTAAGGGGGCAACATTCCGTCCTACGTTTAAGTCCAGACTGTTATTGATTGTTGGAAGTACCGCATCGACTTGGTTGCGGAGTCGGATCGTTTTGTGTGTATGTGTGGGATGATAGAGGTTTTATTTTTTAATTTTTTTTTCCTCACAGATTTATCAAAAAAAAATTATCAAAAGTTTTCGCCCCAGTCGCTCGATAACCATTAACTTCTCTCCTCCTCCGATAATTAAGCAGAAAAACGTAACTTTTCCTACCGTCGCTCTTAGTGTTCGGTACTCGAAATTAGGGTGGGCGCCCGGTAATTGATTAAATGGACTTTTTTTTTTCTTCTTGGAAAAATTTCAATAATTAAACCACCTTTCTCTCTGTTTTTCCGCCATCCAGCCGCGTGTTTGGCAGTGAAGCTTTGTTTCGAGTTCCGAAATTCCAACCAGATGGACACGTCCGTCGGCATTTTTTCCTCGTTTTATTACGGATAAAATATCAATCTTTAACCCCCTTTTTTTAAAGGATAAATGACGTCGTTTTAAGTATATATCTTTCAAACTTATGTATTTTTTTAAAATAGTTTTTAACGAGCCTTTCGTGATTTTTAGCGTTAATTAACTTTGACATTTGGCGTAAACGAATGTTTACGTTAGCTTAGAGAAGAAAAATGTCTGTTTATACGCTGTAAGGGAATTTTGATTGATTGCTCATTTAATAATAATGAAATTCGTCGTGAAAAATTGCTTAAAATTCTGTAGTTTCGTGTCGAAATCGTTGCTAAATTGAACCACTTGGTTCGTTAGACTAAAATATTTCGCTCGTCTCGCTTGCTGGAGTCGAATTTTGGTAAATTTCGACGACTTTTTTTTAGTACCAAAAAGCTGCGGAAGGCTTGGAGAATTTACGTTAATATCGAATTTTGTACCGGTTTATTGAGTTTCGTGGACGAAATGCTAGAAAACGCTGATGAAATCTAGCGCATGGTATTAAAAATTAATCTGGAAGCTCTACCTGAACGGAAAGCGGACACGTGTCGGCACTATAATCTCTTTATGGGCACTCTCACGTGTCTTCCCAGATTATTTGACTCCCGAATTCATAAAGCGAATACAAATGATGTTCTGACGCATTTCCTGTGACTGTAACAATAGACTGAAGTTCCCATTACCCGCGATACGACCGGAAGACAGAACGGTGATACCTTCACCCCTAATACGGAACCATTAATTTAATAAACTTTTCTAAGGTATTTTTAAAAAAAAAAAGTTGGGGAAGATTTTTGTATATTTGTATACCGTATTTCGCCGGATTAATTAAGTTTCAGACGACCGAGTTGGGTTTTCGCCAGTGGAAAGAAAAAGGGAGCGAGGGCCCCCGCGCCATCTTCTAGGACTTTTTCTGTTGATGTCGAGTTACCTAGGCAACCGGTTCACGTGACCGGATCAATCACGTGATTCCGAGATGGGTCTCATAGATATGAAAATGATTGGCGGTGTCTTCCTTTAAGCAGAAGTGCTCGGTTAGCTGTATTTGCTAAGAAAGGTTATTGACCCCGCAAAAACTAATATCCCTCGATTCATCCAAGAGATTACCGAGATGTAGTCATAGCAACAGAACCACAAAAAAGGGAAAAAGAAAAGGGCAAATTTTGTTGCAATTCGATGCACCCCCGTCCATTTTCTATCCCGTTTCCGAAAATAGACCATTTGCCTCGATCACGTGATAAACACGTTCATAAATTAAGTCGACGTTGTCACGGCGGAGACAATTTATTCCTCATCCGTATACAGGATAAGGGCTAGCGGTTTCCTGTCCATAAAGAACAATAGACGGAGAGTTAGTTCCGTTATCCTTTAAGTTTTAAAAGAAAAACAAAATAATAATTTATTCTGGTGGCTTTTATATATATATATATTAAGATAGAGTAGTGCAGATTTCGATACTGATATTGGGAAAATTCTATTTTCAGCTATCCAATCGTTGGATTCCCTGAACGACCAAATTGTGCAGTTCATCTTTTCTCAGAATTCCTACGAACTCGTACCTTCTTCTGTTCGATCACAAGACAACATCTGCCATGATACCACCGCTGGTTGGAATCAACAACGGGATAACCTCAAGTCGTCGATGGCTCTCATGCGGCGACTTTTGCTCGATGCTCAAGCAAAATTTCGAAAGATGATGGAAGAAAATAAGACAATAGCTAGTCGCATCGAAAAGGACGTTATCGAACCCACTACCAGCGATATGGCCGGTAATATATTAACTACTTGTGTTCCGTTAAACGTCGAAGTACCGAATACAACGACCAGTTGCGCCGAACTTAATTCTAACGTGCAAACAATATCGGACAGCAATTCGAACTGTACTTCACCCCAGACAATTTTGGAAGATTCTGCTCAAGACAACCAACCCGATAACGATGCCAAATGCGAAAGATGTAAAAGTAAGTGTGTCTCCTCTTTTCCAATGCTCTTATCCGGCATCTGTCGTTGACACATTGACATACAGACAGGAAATCTCGTAAATTTTATCTCATAGCTTTATCTCGTTCGATTTTAATAATGTTTTAAACGTTACAAATGCTGGCCATTAGCATTTAAATGTTTAAAAACCTGTCAAAATGGCTGCACTGCACGACGTCTCTGTACTGAGGAATAGAGGTGTTATTTGTTTTAAAACACCGATCCTTTTATCTCGCAAATGTTAATTACAATACCTTCGTTAATAAAAAGTTCGGTCGGTTTTATTTAATCCGCTTCTTGACGTGGTAATTTTTCTTAAAATTCTATGTAGTCCTGCCAGATGACACCCCGTCATATCAAAGTTGAATATTGATTTTGGAAGGAAAAAGAATTGAGAGAAACTAATTGAATCTCTTATTTTTTTATGTAATGATGCGAAATTATAAGTTTCGATCATACTAGTAATTAAAAATTCTTTTTTTCTTTCGGTTTAATCGATGGTGTCAGGTTTTTCCTTTCTGAAGAGTCTCACGAACATTGCTTTTTTGTTTTCTTCTTTTTTTCCTGTCCTGTTTTTTAATCCTTATGGTTAAAGGATCCTTATCAGATCATCCTTTTTCGAGTCGTCCAGCCAATTTATATTTTAAACAAGAATCTCGATGACACTTCAGTACTCACGAGTTGGCATTTTCTTTTTGCAACTTCTTAATCATACAACTGATTTTTTTTTCTCCCAAAAAAAATGTTATCTGAATTTAAGTAAATTAGGAATTTAAATTATTCGCAAATGCTTACAATAAAGCATTGGAAAAGTTGATCTGTTTTAATTCTTTAGCGTTGAAAGTTTCGTAGATGTCGAGTTTTACAGATGCTATTCATTTTCGACCCACATTGCCATTTTTAAACATCCCCTCTGCTGGGTAGAAAAGGTTTAGGAAGAATTTTTTCAGCATAACACCGAGAATATCTCGAAGGATAAGTTTCAGTTAGTTAATGGGACGTTCATCAAGTTTGTTACTTTAATGGAAAAGATTTTATAAGAGCAGATAGTGATTAGTTTTATAACTATTTTCACATACTTTTTAAGCGCTACTATGGTTTTTTAAGCATTGTATGGGCGAAAAGTATATACTATTCTCTTTATAAATCCTAGAAGACAACAGAAATAGCCGAAAGGTCAAACTACTGTTTAGGTTATTCTCCTGGGATGGAAAAAACCTCCCATTTTACGCATTAGAAAAAAGATCAAGCATTGTCAGGGGATCTACGATCGAGTCAAGGTGTGTCGCACAAAGGGCTTGTCACAAATGGTCTGATCATTTTTTTCCCCTAGCTGCAGCGTTGAGTGTTTCTAATTTCCCCTCCAGAGTATAGCTGACGATGGCAAAATGCCAGCTATTGAGCGCATGGGCGTTTAAAGGTGTTCTCCTTCTCTGCCTTTTCCATGTATGCCAGGCATCACTTATCGAGAGTGATGACCGCTGCAGATACATCAACCATTAATAGATTCGATCCAAAGAATATTAAATCTGAGTAAAGTAGGTTTGTATAACTAAAATCCCGGAAAAATCCCACGCACCAAATCTGTAGATCCTTACCAAGAAAAACTGGTACCTTAATGGCCTCCAGTCATTCTTCTGGACCCGATAAAAAGGAATTTTGATCAGAATCGTAGGATTGACAAATCGATAATCTTTTTCTTTATCATTTTATAGTCCCATCGAGCTGTAATGATAGCATAACCCAAGGAAATATTTTGTAAATTTTGTGTATTTAAACAAGGACGTAACAATAACGTTCTCGATAATCTCTTTAATGTATTCTAAGCACATATAACCACAATATTAAAAACACGAGAGCTCTTTATCAACGTAAAACTACCATTTCCCGAAAGAAAAAGAAAATTTCCACCAAACAAATGGAATTTACACTCTTCTAGTTGGATTATAACAAAAACGTCGCTTTCGATTTGATTCACCGAATTATATTTCTTAATAAGACCATATCAAGTTAATATTTATATTAAGATAATTTAATTTTTATATCAAATTTGCCATTTCTGCAAATTATTTCACTGGTAAATCGACGTCGAAAAGAGCTAACACGCTTCTGCGAGTCAGAAGTAATTAGCTTTTTATTTTTTAAGTAGCGTACTAAATCGGATGAGAAGTCGATATCTCCTATCTAGAAAAAAGTTTCCGGCCTGCAATTTAATAACTGTATTAAATTCTACAACTCGCTTTTTTTTTTTTCCTTCTTCTTCTTCTTCGGTAGGATACAATTTGCTACGATTTAAATGGTTTAAAATATTACCGGGAGGAGCATCATCCAGTCCAAGTTTCACACTTCTATCATTAATGTAAATCGAATTTATTTCTAGTGTTTATTGATGTTTACTGTTTTTTTTTTAATATAAAATTTGTGTTTTTACATCATCTACATAGTGCCAATTGTCGATGTCTGTTGTGCGCGTTATAACATCCAATCGATGCTATACACTCCAGTTATGTTGTTTGGTAGAGAGCCGTACCTGTACTCAATGTGTTTCCATGGCAACGTACTAGTCCGAGAAGAAAAGATTTAAAAATCATCCCTCTCGTAATTGTTCTAGAATGTGTACTTAACCTGAAAGATTAATAACCGCTAAGATTTTAAGTTAGCCCACGTAACAAGTTTGATAGAAAAGTCGTTCTCGCCTTAACCACACGTCGATTTTAAATTCCTCCCTACTTAAGTTATAGATATAAATTCTGAAGATGATTGAATTTAAATATTATCTACAATTCTTGGATATGCTACAGTTAAGATCTGTTAAAAGGTATTTAGGATTCTCGAGCATTGGTTGAGACCTACTTTCAATAACCTTACATACTTCGCTCCACTGGATACATACTATAGTTAATTAAGCGTGTCTTTTCTTTTTTCCTCAAACATTTCTCTATGTTAGTTACGTAAGTCTGTGTACATATTCTTACATTACTTTGTTCACCAAATATTACATGCTCTATTATTCTCCAACTTTGTGGGAAGATTGGAATGAACTTTTCAAATCGATTTTACCCCCGGAACGGAGAGTTAAATAATAAATGGATTTTTCCCCCTTCCAATTTTATATAAAGGCAGACATTCTCTGAATGAAGCTATCAATAATCAACCGAAGAATGAATAATATATTAATAAGAAAAAAAAACAATTGTCGCCCGTTGCGGCTACTTTATAATAATCATTTTGTCTAATGTTTTAGTAAATAAGACGTTATATTCTGTCTTAAACATGTTTTTTAATCGTTTGTTTTCGTCGTTATTCTTTTACGTGGCGAGTATAATTAAGGTAATTGCCATATTTCCATTTACAGTAATGCTTCATAGTGGAAAACAGCTCCAGTCGGTCGTTACAGCTTTATAATTAATATCTTGTCGAATAATAATTGTAATGAGTCGAACGAAACTTTAATAATAGAAAGTCATCCGAATTACATCTTTATTTTAAAAAGTGTTTCCTTTCAAATCATCTTAGGCTCATATTCTCCAAGAATTCATTTTCGCAACTGACTAAAAATCCCATCAATTTTTTATACTCGCGCGGTCGTAACTGTTGTCCTAGGAGGGAGGAAAAAATATATATATAGGAAACTCGGACAAAAATGTTTTATGGGCGATTATAAATCAAACTTTACTGCGATACCGGGCCACTAATTTTTCGAAGTGAGATAGGAAATCGAATATATTTTTAAAAGGGAACACATCAGTCGATGTTTTATGTTGGAAAATATAAGAAATTTGTAATTGTAATGGTTTAAAATCTGTTATTTTTATGTTTATGCTACTGACATTCCTTACAGCATCAATTACGCTACTCATTTAGTTAAGTCATACGGAGTAGATTTTTATATTTTTGCTTACTCCAAAATCATCCAATTGTTTAAAGAGACTTCCCTCGAATTGTTACTAAGGTAACAGACCACCCGAGGTATTTAGTTTCCACTCACACAACTGATCTATTATTCAAGATGCAGCCGGTGTCGCAGCGACATTATTGATTACCCTTAATATATATCTTCCATTGAGAATAACCTAGTAACGCATTATTAGTGTCAGTTACTCTATTTCCTATTTTAATTTATTAAATATATATTTAATTGAATAGGTAATATTTTTGGTTTAGTGATAATGTTGAAAGATTCTTTCTATCTTTTATTATTATGGAGTTTTAATGAGTTCTTTCAAGTTTTCTAGAAGGGAATCTTTTAAAAGACACCATCCCAATAAAAATTTAATTTTAAACTTCGAGACGAGGAAAGAATTAGTTGAAATCTTGTAAAAAATGTATATGTACAAGCTCTGTAGTAAAATATCTCTAAGGCTATCGATTAATTTCTTTATAGATAAACTTGTGCTTCCTTCTTCGATCGGGATGAACTTACTTATAGATTTTTCTAACAAATTACTGATTATATTAGCGACACGAGAGATATAGCTAACTATCTCATCATTAAAATTCATACACGTATTATAATTTATTATAAAAATGCATAATTTCAGACTGTACCCACGACGATGCCAATCAATTAGAACATACGCTGGCCCAGTTACAAGAACAAAACGAAAAGTTGATGGAACACAATCTAAATCTTCAGAAAGAAGTGGAGGAACTTAAACTCTTCAAAAATCAAACAGAATCCGGAGAAAACAACTTAAAACCCCAGCTACAGCAACTAGAAACGGATCTGAAGCACGCAAGGGAGGCTTTAGCAGGTAAATTCCGAACCGAACGGTTTAAAATTTCTCATAGAATCGATGTAATTAATTTTAATTACACTTTCATCGAAGCAGAATAACATTTTTTATTTTTTTATCTTGGAATATTTCAGAGAAATCTTGAAAAAATTAACGATTAATGACATTGATATTTTTCTGCAGCGCTCAAGCAAGATCGTAAACGGTTAAAAGCGGAGAAATTTGATCTATTAAACCAAATGAAACAACTTTACGGTACTCTAGAAGAGAAGGAAAGGGAACTCAGAGACTTTATTCGAAGTTACGAACAGAAGATGAAAGACAGCGATAAAAATCTCAAACAAGTCAGTCTCCGTGAGCTTAATGACTCGATAGTTATTAATTATGGCGGCGTGGGTAATTTTAATAAATGCTCGAATATAAATTTTGATAAAACTATAGATAAATACACTACTTTGCCGTATAGGTTATATAAGATTATAGTGGATTAACTTGTTCTTTCGCTAGTCTGGAGCATTTTTAATTAAATTTTGATTCTTTTCTAGATTCATTATACGATACGGCTCGTTAATAGTTGCAAATTGTAAGATAAATTAGTCGTTTCGCGCTCTTATTCCATCCAGTTAATATCAGTTTAAATTTAAAGAGTTGCCGAAATTAACTAAGTAGCAAATTAGATTAAAAAATATTTTCTTTATGTATGACAATTTTCTTAATTTTAGCTTGTAAGAGAACGAGAAGATACGGAAAGAGAAAAGTGGAATATATTGAAACATGCCAGAGACGAAGCCGAGCGATCCGTGGCTCTATGTGCACAATTGGGTTTAAAAGAAGCACAAATTAAACAAATGCAAGAAGAATTAAATTCGGTAATTGCTGATATCTACGGAGGAAAAAAAAAATGTAAATTATGTTATTTTACTTAAATGCCAATTTATTAGGTGCGGGAAAGACTCGGTTACATGTCCGATTTAGACAGTAGTCGAACGTATCGGTCGAATGGATATCACAGTCCTAGTACAGCATCCACACACATTCCGAATGGTAGAGATGGTAGCAATGCTGCTACTCCTACACCTGGTTCCGATCCCACTACTTCATCGTCCTGTGCTGGTACTCCCACTATCACTGTAGATAGCGATGCTAGTCCTAGCCACGTCTGTGAGTGAACAATAGATTCTTTTCCCCCCTCATTTCTTCTTTCATGATATCTTTTAATTCAATTTAATTGTCGTTAACTGTATTCGTTTTTTTTCCTGCCCAGTATCAAATACAACAAGAGATTGTCACAGACCAAATCTTCCCGGTTTATCTCAGTCTGCCGAAGAAATATATAATAGCAGTGGAGGATCCGATTGCAGCACGAAAAAAAGTCGTAAGAGAAGAGAAGGAAAAGGAACCTGGGGCTCTATATCTAGAGTTTTTGCCAGGGGACGTCAGAGAAAATCGATAGAATCTACTGCTGATAGTAAGTCATCTAGTAGATGTTATATTTTTTATGATCACAAAGTTGTATTTTTGTACTCCGTTTTAGAGAGGTTACCGGCTTTATAAAGTTCAATTTTTAGTATCCAAGTTTTAGTTTTCAATCGTTTTCAGGTGATCAGCGCTCGTCTTGGTCTCCGCAAAGTAGTTTATGTGCCAGTCCCCTAACAGAAGAAAGTTATATGGAAAAACTGAAACTATTAGAAGAAGCTCAGGGTACTCCAATGGAAAGATGGAAAGCCAGTACAGTATTGGCCTGGCTAGAAGTCAGTTTAGGAATGCCTCAGTATGGAGCCATGTGTGCAGAAAATATTAAAAGTGGAAAGGTATTTTAAGTGGATTGTTGTTTGCATTGAAAAAGAAGAAAAAAAAAATTTATTTTTCAAAGATAATATTACCCTTGTTAGGTTATTATAGTTAGTCAAAGGAAAATAATTTATTTACAATGTCAAATATAGGTGCGAGGTCACAAATTAAGAAGTGAAATATATTTTTTTTAACATTTTATTAAATAAAATTATTTTATTCTACTCCAAAATAATTTATTCAAAGAGAATTTAAGGAGGCTTCAAAAATTTTATGTTCACAACTTTATTTTGCTTAAATATTATTAATATAAAATAAATGCTAGGATGTTACATAAACATGTGAGTCATGAGACAAAACAGATGTTAAGTGGTTGATCCAACCATAATTTTAAAATAACAAAACTTTGCCACTACACATATTTTATTGATAGTTCTAGCAATATATTTACTTAATCTACTGGTTCAACTAGGCATCATATTAACATAGAATGAATGCTACACATTTATATACATTTTAAAAATGTTTAGATATAAATAATAATTTAATAAATATTTTTGAATTAATTAAAATTATTTTTAGCATTTTTTTAAATAAATTTTAAATTATTATTATTATACATTGAATAGATTGTTTGCATCAATTTTCAGGTATTGTTAGAATTATCTGATCCTGAATTAGAAACTGGCTTAGGAATTACTAATATTGTGCACAGAAGAAAACTTAGGCTAGCAATTGAAGAGCATAGAGAACCATCTCTTTGGTAAGATTAATTTTTTAAGCCTGTGAATATTTCATCTACAATCTTCAATATAAATGGTAAAGAAATAAAGGAAATATATTTGATGTAAAGAAATAAAAGCAAATTTATAAATATTTATCCAAAAAATACACATTTGTTTTAGTTTATATCCCAAGATATGTCTTCTTACCCATACGTGGATAGCCGAGGAATGGTTACCGAGTTTAGGATTATCTTGTTATGTTGATAATTTCACAGTACAACTTATAGATGGAAGAGTGTTAGATACATTAACAAAAAAAGATTTGGAAAAGTATTTGGGAGTAACAAGAAAATTTCATCAAGTTAGCATAATGCATGGAATTCAGCTTTTGAGGATGGTTAAATTTGATAGACAAGTTAGTAATAATTTCTTTCATTTATTTTTAGAAATATTAATGATTTTTTTAATGACAATATAATAAAAAAAAATATTTAAGTTCAAAAACCTTTCATTAATAAATTGAAATGAATTAAAAAATAAAAAATTTTTTTATCATTTCAAAATATTTATTATTGCAATGAAAGTAAGTATATTTTAAAGATTAAAAAGTTCAAAGTTCATAAGTCTTGTAGATTATAAATAAATTTAAAATACTTTAAAGTAAAAACATTTCCTTTTTTAGAAAAGTTACTATTTATCATTTATAAATATTTACTGGTACATAGATTTTGATTTATCAATTTTTAAATTCAAATATTTAATTAAAAAGACTCATGGATTTGTATAAACATTTACAGATATTGTATATTTTGTATTCGATACAATATGAAATTGAAAATAATTTCAGATTTTATCGCAAAGGAGGTCTCATAGTGAAAATATGGATGTCGATCCCCTTGTATGGACTAATCAGAGATTCATCAAGTGGGTCCGAAGTATAGATTTAGTGGTATGTTAAGTCATACATTTAAATTTAAAATAAATATGAATATATTTATTTATTTTTTAATATATGTATAAAGGAGAAAAACTAATTCATTGTACAGTAAATTATGTAATCTAATATTATTACATTTTATTATAATATATCTTCTAAAATTTGAAATATTTTGAAAATATTAAACTTTTTTATTCATCAGTATAAAGGTAGTATATAGTATCTACTTTAAAAAGTTATTAAATTTGTTTATTCTACTTCATATTATAGTTATGGCTTCAATATATGTAGTGATAATAATTAAGGTTATTTATATATTCAGTTATAATTTATCTTATAATTCAGTTATCTTATATATATAAAATAAAGCTTTGCATTTAACCATTATAAATTATGATATAATTACAGAATTTATCTTATATCAACTATCAGAGGAGAAATATATAGATGTAAACAAAATTACTGGTTGTTAAGAAAACATTATCTGATATATAAATATATAAAGTGGATTGATGTCAATATAAACATTGGAAGAAGTGAAAACTACATTAAGAAAATAGAAATAAAAATTTTTGAAGTTAAAAAGATATCTTAAGTTGTTCAAGAAGCTGGGAAGAATTCGTGAATTTTTGTTCATTTGTTTAATGATATATAAAAATAAAATAATCAAAAAAGGACGATTATATAATGCAAAGAAATATAAAAATTTTAAAGAGATTAATCTAGTTTAACTTCTTCATTTTGTTTTCTACGTAATATTTACATTATTGTGGATTATTTATAATGTTATTATTGCTTTTTTCTCTGGATACAAATAAAATATTATCAAGAGTAAAAATTTTTCCTTATTAGGTACTTGATAACTTTAATCAATGTTTGTTTCTTGTTGCTTTTCTACTATTCTTTTGATCTTATATGCTCATTAAATAAGTCATTTAAGAATTTTATTAATTTTTCTTTTCTCTATAATTTTCTTATTAGCATTTTATCATCATTATTAATTAATTTAAAAATTAAAGTATCTGTTTTTTGATATAATTCCCGTTTTGATATAAGTCCTTTGACTCTCTTTGACATTTCTTACATCTTTTAATCCATTATTTGTTCATTAAAGATCATTTTGATCTTTCAAGATATTTTTCTTATTTTTGTCCTTTATCGTTTTTATATAAATTAAGATATTTTTATATAAGAAGCCATGCAAAAGAGTAAATAAAAAAGTGTTAGAAAAATAAATATGGTAAAAATGTAATATTCTTCTGTAAAAAAATAACATAAAACATAAGTTAATATCATTTTTAATATGATTAAGTCTACAGTTTTTTTTTTTTAAATTCCTTTTCAATTTTTATCTTTTAAGAGAATTTTTAAAGTATAAAATAATATTATTGTTTTTCTGTCATCTTGTTTACAATTCTTTGATATCAAGTACTTGAAAATCTAATTGCTTAACAGTTACTTTAGATAATTATTAATTTTATAAGATAAATAATATATATTTTTAATTTAAACATTCATTTACTAATAGTATATTGTTACGTACTGTACCCTTGTATTGTATTGGGCAGGGCCCTATTTGTACATAATCTAAACGAGCTCTTTATAGCCTCATATATTTACATGTATCATTATTTGGTAGAGGAGAAGGGCCTGCTACATGTTATAGCTTAGTGCCATAAAAATCTAAGTCCAGCCCTGGCATTGGATATTGCAGAGATAATTTCGCCAGGTGTTTTTTTTTTAATTTATGAAACTTTTTCGAAGTCATTATTTATCATTTGATAGCTTTAGATTTAAAATACAATGGAAAATGTAGGTTAAGCTAAATGAAGGAACATTGTGTTTAGGATTTCTAGTGCTTAAATTAATCTAATCAAACTACATCACCTAATTAGAAAGTTATTTCTTATCTGTTTAGTGCAAAAACAAATACTTTTGTTAAGAATCACGTCAAAAATTACGGATTTAAAAAAGAAACACATTCTTCTTACTTTGTACTATACTTAATATGCAGTTCATGGAGTGTCCTCTTTGGTAATTGCCTCATACCAAGTTCATTTTGTAGTTAGTTGTCGTTCCTTTCATAATACTTTCAAGAGATTTGTCATATTCATCATCAAATAAAAGATACTAACTTAAAATAGTATGTTATCATTCTTAGTGCGAGTAAACACCGATTAATTATGAAGTAATTACAAGACAATTTTCTAAACTTGATACTTAATAATGCGCGTGGTACATATTAAGTTGCGTTACGTTTTTGGGTTTAACTTTGTTACGATGCGATTCTAATGTGTTTGTCTTGTTTCTGCACTAATAAATAATAAGAAAAAATATTTTTTAGTAGAATAAAGTAGTTTGATTACATAAGCTTCAATTACCATAAGGCTCTGACAGAAGGAATCAGTAGAAACTTTACTCCAGAACTGGATACAGTGGACCTCTAAAATTTAGTCTTATAAAATATGATTAAAATTTATTTTGATAGGTGATTTAGGAATCTTTCTTTCTGTTTTTTATTGATTTTATTCATATATTTATATCGCTTTCGGAAAATATCGGTGTCCTACATTTGTGACTAGTCCAGATTCTATCTCTTAGACCCTGTCGAGCGTAGTAACTTACTATTGAATACGGCATTTTAACATGATTCTGTCATCATATTTTATCTCTAAAGTTTTAAATCGTTAAGAATATACTCAAAAGTAAAACTAGAAAATTGTCTTACAACGCTTTTTGTATATATAATTTAAAATTTTGGTTATTTAATTTATTAATTAGCCTAATTAATAACAAAGTAAACTTCCTGTCCGTTTCGCTACAGTTTATTATCTTAAAATCACAATCACATGGCTTAATTTGACAATGTTTTCGTTTAAAATCTTATTTAACAAAAATGAACAGAACATAAAGTAACAATATAACCTTAAACTTTTCGATAAAGCCATTACAGTATATACACATAGGCCTATACAGTAATTTCATACGTTCAGTTTAATAACGGAATGGAAACCGTAATGTATCTAATAATATTAATGGTAGTCTTATAAATAGCTTCTAGTCTGTTGTTATTTTTATCGTAAATTTCGAATATATTCATACTTAAAATCCATAATATACATCAAGGTCGTGCATACCCTTCCCACATGAAAAGAATTAAACAAATAAAATAGTAAATAGTTAATTGTTACTTATATTATTATTTTGTATTCTCCTTAGTCTTCTGTATTGTGTGGAGCGCTATATTATAAAAATTATAATACATTTTTACTTTCCCGGCTGTTATATATAACAGAGGAGAAGTATGGCGATCGGTCAAAAAATGACCCTCCCCAAGACTTTTATATTTTTGGACTTAGGACACCTTGAAATGCAAAATAAATCGGGTGTAATTTCTGTATGTATGGATGTTAGTGTGGGGGGTGGCACAATTTAAAGCTTAATAAATCCTGTAAATTTTGTCGAAAATTTCTGAAATTTTGCAGGGAGGTTTGTTTATTAGGAGGATTGATGCTATTAAATTTTGGTGGTTAAGAGTCGAGGGGATGGGGGATAATGAGAATCGTGTGTATCTCCAGTAGGGTAGGTCTTAATAACGATTTTACTCGTTATTAGCATTTACAAATTTTTATAAAACCCTCAAAATTAAGCTTTTTATAATAGTTAAAAATATAAAAAATGTATAAAATAAAATATGATAACAGATGGAGCTACCAAAATTTTAAATGTTGCCGGGAAAGTTAAGCAACTCGTTGTTGGATTTTTAAAAGTACTGTGCACGGTTCTGGTTTGCTTTACACTTTTTGAAAAAAAATATTATATTATAATTAATGTTTTTAATGTTTATTTATGCGTTTGTATTTTTTAAATTTATTCTACGTTGTTTAATTGTTGTACCGGAGGAGGCACTTATTGTCTACGAGACATTGTTTTTTTTTCTTTGAAAATAAATAAATAAATGTCGAATTTACTTTAACAAATAATGATAATAAACAGTAACGACTCGATATATTTTCCTACCGTAATAATTATTAAAAATAGAAAATCAAAGTTTTCAACATTTGCTTTTATTAAATTAAATGTAGTATTTAGTTTATATATTAAATTTCTTATGAGAAAAATAGTTAAAAACCCGATTTTTAATTTTATTTACTGGAAAGACGTATAAAAATGGCAATGAACGAATAATAGATTATTATACTAGCGTAAAAATATATAAATACTTTATATTCAGATATTTTTTTACATATTTTTACATACGAATGTAAATGTTTAGAAATATTTTCTCCATTCGAACATCAAGTATTCATCTCAATCTGAAGGAAAATATATGTACTGTACTGTACATCCGCCCTTTTTTTATTGTGTATGATTATTTACATGTCATAACCAATGATGTGATAGATTCGCCTTGCTCTACAAAGAAATGAATGACCTTATGCGAGAGCAAGTGTAATCGATACTGTTCTCAAACACAACCTCCAATGCTTAATACATAATAGTTAGCAATCAATATTTATCAACATTTTCTCTTTCAATTTTAATTGCTTATTTTTCTTAACTCATAAGTGTAAAGATAACGGAAATCCTTATATACTGTAAGGAATTCTCTTATCTTTTGGAGGATCCGGATTCGATTTCGATCGGGACTTTAATGATTCTTCATAGATCTTTTGGATGGAGGCATCTCTTGTATGCGCTGACTGAACTAATTACCACATTAAATTAACTTGCAATGCGAAAAATTCAATTCGTTTTCAAAAATTAACAGAGAAAACATTTTATTAGATATAGTAAATTGGGTATATTATATATCTAAAATAAAAATAAATCATAATTCAAAAGTCTAATAACAAAGTTTCAATGGAAGTTATTTAAACTGCGTTTTAAAATTTCAATTTATTTTGAAATACTGTATATGTAATAGTAAAATTTCTCGATTTTTAGATAGCTAAAATTATTTTTTTTTCATAAAAAAATATGATAGATTGGTAGAGAATCAAATTTGAAAGGCTTTCACTTTAAGAACTTCTTATGTGCACTCTTTCTGCTGTAACAATAAAATGGCACTAGAAGGAGATGGCAAGTTGCTGCGCTCAGGATGAACTGGAAGAATATCCATTGAAAAAGTTGTTTGGGTGGTTCTCACAATTGTACTGGGAGTAGATACTTGGACTGGACTGAGAATCAAAGCTTTTAGCTCAGAACCACTTTTATCAACAGGCTGCAAAAATATATATTTTATTCATATCAAAAAATATATTAAAATTTTAAAGAAAATTCTTAATAACTTTTTACACTTTTGAATGTTTTAATATATATTCTTTCTATGAAATATTTTATACTTAATTCTGTTCTTCAATTAATTAATATATTTTTAGGAATATGCAGAAAACTTAAGAGATAGTGGAGTACATGGTGCACTGGTGGTGTTGGAACCTTCATTTACAGCAGATACAATGGCAACTGCTTTAGGAATTCCAGCTTCCAAAAATATTATTAGACGTCATCTCACAACTGAATTAGAAAATCTTGTACAACCTGCCAGGTAAAAACTGATAAATTTTGATATATTCAAAATATTCAATGTATTCAAATTGATTTGATTATTCTATAAAATATTTTTTAGAATGTCTTTAGAAGCAGAAGAAGTAGTTCACCGAAGAAGAAATGAAAAGAAATCATCGCAATCGTCGGGTGGTTCTAGTGTTTCTGGATCTCTTGGGCGAAACTTTATGCGTTCGTATTCCAGATCTGGAACATTGGAGAGGCCAGATAAAAGACGCGCCAGTATGAGGGTAAGAAACCTTAATTGACACGCAATTTAAAACCTATTTTTATACATTTTAAATAAAATCATAAAAAAATTTTATGTATGATAAAAATAAAAATTAAACAATGGAAAATTATCATAATCTATAATTATTATGTTTCTTTTTATAGTTTTAAAATATCATTTTATCAAATATTACTTTTTAAATCTATAAAAAGAAATATAATTAAATATTAGATTAGAATTTAATAATACAAATTAAACAATTTTAAAGTAATTAAATACTTTAATTAATTTTCAAAACAATTCATTATTTGTATATATAAATAAAACATAATATCTATTTTGAAAACTATTATAAAAATTTACTTGAAGAAAACTTTTAGTTTGATATTAATGTTAAATTGCCATTTATTTGGAATTAATAAATTTGGGAAAAATTATTTAATATGATGTTTATAATCAGTAAAATGAACATCATTGTGAAGATTATATTAAGGTATAGTTATTATTTAAATGAATTCCAATTCATTTCCAGTTTGCAACATGGAAAAGTTCACAGGTAAGATTTTGGTATGGATTGGAGCATTGCATTTTAAATGTTTGAATGATAACTAAGAAATAGAAGAAACATTAATTACTGTATGTTCTTATATTTGTTGTCTTTCAATTTAATGTATATAGCATCATGCCAAAATATTCATTTTTATCATTCAGCTTCATCAAAATCACACTCCATTTAATAAAAGTTCATCCATTCAGAAATTTATAATATTGTGATTGTGCTTTATTTATTTAAATTCTTTTTATCATTGCATGCAAAAGTTTTATATTTAACATTATCTTATAGTATGTAATTTTGAATGCCAAGAAATATTAATTTTATACTAATTATTTCAGCTCAGTGTATCATAGCAGTGAAGATAACTTCGAAATTTAATGGTAATATTTCTCACTAACTGTTACTGCTTTTGCTAATTATGTTACTAATTGCATCTAGTAAAATGAAGTAACAAATTCTATAATTGCATGATTATGTGTTTGTTAAATTACAATATTATGCTTTGTAATTTAGAATAATTATTTATGCATGCCAAAATCTTTTTATCTATTATCTACTAAATATTTTTATAAATACCATAGTCTTATTTCTTATATGAAAAAAATTTCTTCGATTTCAAAATTTGATTAACCATTAAATCTTATTAATAATGATGATAAAAGAGATCAAACTGAAATTTTATCAATTCAAATTTCTTCATTTTAGAATTGCAATTAAAAGTTTTATCACATCCATTAACTTATATGTTGTTAAAGAGAATGGACAACAAATTTCAATATAAAATTTAATTCATATAATGTGGCTATATTACTAAACAATTCACTTTAAATGGATTATTAAATAAATCTTGATTATTACAGTTTTTTAAAAAAATGTTTTAATCTATTTAATAACTGGATTCAAATACTGTATACTAATTCAAATCAATAAATAAACATGTCTTACTACTTACTAAATTACAGCTTAATGAGATTATTTAGTGTTAAAAATACCTGCATTTACCCCTCTATCACTTTGGATGCAACCACTAGTACTATAGACAAAGAGTAAACTCTTAGATATTGTATATACATGTGTATACAAGTGTGTTTGTCATATTCAAATTTTTTCTTATGTTTTCTTCATTTATCTACAAAGGTAAGAGAGCTCAGGTTCTCTAGATTGCTCTCTGATTACCACTTGTTTCTTCAATATAAACAAATAGAATATAAAATTTCCAAACATTTTAAATTTTAATCTAAAACATATATCATAGAAATTAATTTATATAAAGGATTTTAACAGAATTCCTTTAAAGCTTAGTACTATTTTAATTACATTTAAAATAATCTAACACTATTATGTATATTTTTTCAAATAGGAAAATGTATAATTATAATTAATATTTGATTTACAGGAAAAAGATTAATGCAATATTAATAATTGTAAAATAACTGCCTGATATATTATTGGGCATATTTTTATCATGAATTATTTTCATGTTTATACTGTAATTTTTTAGAAATCATAATATATTTTTGCCATTATCATATTAATGCATAGTAAACTTCCTTAGGACAAATTCTTTATAAATGTAACATAGAAAACAATTTGCTTTATTTATATCTTTAATATATTATATAAATGTTTGTTTCTT